AGAGTGCTTGCAGCTCGTTTATATCCATTAGACCTGTTCACTTTTGGCTGCTTAGTTTAGATCACAAACAATGCCAAAACACCAAAACTATGCGTCTGAACCCAGCTATTAATCTTCTCCTCAGCTCCTGACACAATCACACCTTACCAAATTTACCAAATTCAAGATATTTTTCTGGGTTGTAATTGTTAATGTTTTTTGTTGTTTTCACGTGAGATAAATGCAAACTCCTCATACTTTCTGCAGTGTCACCTCTTAATTCAGTCAAGCAGAAACCGAATTTATGTCATGCATACAAAGTACTTACAGTTTTCCTGTAGCTCGCGGAATTTTCTTTGGAATTGACTTTAGCTGTTTTCCTTCACAATTGGCTGATACTAAGCCCTTCATGTTACCTTCAAGGACTTTGCATTGGCACGGTTGAGGGCACTCAGCTGACAAACAAAAACAGACTTCAATTAAACTTGTTATTTGAATCATATTCGTTCTATAATCGTTCACTTTTATTTAAAGATTTTATCAACCGAAAGCTGTTAAATCAAATCGATGATGATACGTTAGAAAGTAAACCAACCGTTCAGCGGTATTCCTTAGCATCATCAGAGACTAAAATCTGATGTCACCCATTGAAATGAAAGGCAAATTTCTAGTCAGATTTTTTTAAAATGATGTTCTGCCTCTTTTAACACAGTCCTTTTTAATCACTGACATGATTTTTATTCGCCGTGATTGAAAATGATCTAAAATAAAACTCTTTTCTTTGTATTTAACTCTCTGTTTGTATTTTGACTCGCCCTACGAGCTCGAATACAGCACAACTCGTAAAAATACTCAGCGATACTACACAACATAACGTCTAATAAGATATATTTATTTTCCGTTTGATTTGTCCAAAGATAAAAATAGTAAAGGCAACACGAGGTAAATTTTGCTGTTCATAGTGTTTAATAGACCAAACATAGCCATTCCGCTTACTTTCCTTATGCAACATGTACATCGCGACATTAACATGGCCACCCTGACCGGAAAACGTCCCTTCACGGCCTCTATGGACATTGAATAAAGGGGGTAGCCTTCTAAAGAAACTGTGGTGCTGCGTCGAAGGGGTAAAAAGGTAATTTGGTAATATCTTACTAACTTCAAAGTGTAAACTGGCCACCGTAAAGAGTTAAAAGGCTGACGTTTCGAGCGTTAGCCCTTCGTCAGAGCGAAACATTGGTTTTGTCACCTCGTTAATACGGCCGTTTCTTTCGGCTCGGAAAAACAGCCATACATTTTCGAATAATGAACCCTCGTAAATGTAGTCACCCATTAATACGGCCAACGGCCACATGTTATTATGCAATATGATTATCAATACACATTATGCAATAGAATTATTAATAACGATTTCATTAAACAGAAGTGTTCTTAAAACGTTCGGTCTTCCACCCTGGGATTTCAAACCGCCTGTTTCGTCTGAGTAATGAGAGCATACGATCAGGTAATTGAAATGGCCCGTAGCATGGAAAAAAGGCCTGTGGAAACCGGTCTTCAAAAAGGAGAATCGGTCTTGTGAAAAGAACTATCGACCGATAACACTACTCAATACGGTGGATAAGGAGTATGAACAAATACTGAGCACACAAGTTAATGCCTTCTTCGATCCTATTCTTAATAATTGCTTATGATGTGCATACAGGAAAATGTATAGCTGTGAAACAACACTGCTGAACTTGACTGAGAAATGGAAAATGGCTGCTGACTCCAAACAGTATGTAGGA